TTTTTTTTTTTCCACAGGGTATAAAATTTTTATCCTTAAAGGGGCTCATTCACGGTTTGTGGATATTGAAAAGCTTAGCCTCAATTTTTCAAATTCATTGTTTGTAATCCATGTTAATCTTCTCCATCCTTAGCCATCCTTGTTCCTGTATGGTTTATCATTATCTTTTTGGTGTTTTTCTATCTTATTAAACTGTTATTTTCAGGTTTCCTACCATTGAAAGGTAGTTTTCTATGTGGCCAAAATAACTCAAAATACTATGACTGAGCCCCTTTAAACAATGCTTATTGTAGCATGTAAAACTAAGTAATTAACAAAATCAAAATAATTTCTATCAATAAAACAGTTCTAAACCAAACAGAAACAGAGCAATGCATGTGTCATGTTGTTAGAATCTCAAATTAATACTAAAATAACTCTGCCTTTCTTAGCCTGCTGCTTGTGGTGGTCTGCAAGTTGTGAAAAATGTTCAGGTATGTAGCACTGTTAAGTCACAAAAGCCAGAAATCTCAGCTTACAGTCAATTTGTCAACAGTCAGCTCTGAACTGGAAATAAACACAGGGTAGTAACTTCAGATCGAGTGACTGTACCTGATGTTTGAAGGGTCTATGCTTTTCTTTATTTCATCCACTGCATCAGATAGTGATTTGAACTCGAATGTGTTGAGATCATTCTCAGCTAAGGACTACAAATAACGACAAAAATAAAGCAGTGAGTCAAGGGTTAAAAAATGACCTGGCCACATTACAACAGTGTTAAAAATAAAACAAGTTCCATGCAAAACTAGTCAGAAGACGTCTATATAAAAATATGACCATAAAAAAACTGCACAGTATGCAGACCAGGTCAAGTACTTGCCACAGACTGAAAACAAATAATTCTGTGACAAGACTGACAGTTGTTGTCATATGCATGTGGCTTACCTTGATTTGCAGCATGAGAGAAGTTAGACTACTGACAATATGTATCAATGGCTGGCTTGTAATTGCATTCCTGAAGAACATCAAGAAAATAATGTGTTACTCTACTGAGCAATGGGGATGTCAGATTTAAATTACCCATAAACCAAGTTGAACAAGGTTATTTAATGATGATGAACAAAATTTAACCTTAAAAATAATGAAGCTAGTAAAAATTGTTTGTATGGATTTAATTACATACAGGCCCATAGTTGCATTATTTTCTTCCACTACTCTTGTGGCCTCCTTATCACATCTTCTCTTCACACTAGTAGACTGATCCATGGATTGAACTCCTTGTTCAGGGGCAAGCTGATGTACAAAGCCAATGAAACAAAATATGTCTTCAGTAAGTTTAGCGTAAGGCCAAACTGTTTTATCTGCATTGAATACATTGAAACTTAATTCTAGAACTCAATAATAGTACTTCATCAAGTTTAAGCAAAGGGAATCATTACTGCGACGGTGTTTGGATATCTGACCTTAATTAGTATAGATTTTTAGTGATGTTTTATTTCTCTACTTTCTGATCAGTTTTAGCTTCCATTGAGAAGATAAATCAAACACTCAAGGCCAAGTTTGACCACATTTCCAAACACCTTGAAGTTCGTCATAAATACTCTACTACATGTCATAGTTTCAACTCTCTTCTCAGTGTTTGGAAATGTGGTCAAACACAGTCTTATGTGTTTGATATATGCCATAATAAATTAAAGTAATTTATCCTTCATTTAATTTGCATAATTAAATAAAACAAGTAAAGAAACTGACAAACCTCTTGGCAGTATTCCTGGACCCCTGTTAAATACTCATTAAGATCCTACAAAAAATATAAGTAATCCATAGCCATTGGTCAATATTACAACAAATGTGGTGGCTAATTGGCCAGTCTAGATACAAGAGCATTCCAAGGTACAAACAACAAACCCTGTTTAGTCGCTCTAGTTCCAGTACCACAGATGCATATCTTCGTTGGAACTCTTTATCAATGGGTTCTTGGTATGATTTCTGAGTAAAGATGAGATAACATGTTACCAAGTAAGTTACTTCACTTTTACCCAGGTGCTTGTTAAATTAAATTGTCCCTCAACATCAAGAGCAACCAACTGAATGGTCAGTTGTACCACTGTTTCAGACTAAGTCAGTGATATCACTTTGCAACTGTCAAATAGATGCTTTAATCATATTAAAATTCGCAGAAATTTTGTAGGCAAAATTTCAAAGCTACATCAATAAAAGCCAGGCCCAGGCAAAGCAAACAGATTGTCGAAATCTGCTGCAAATCATTTAAAATTAATTTTGTTATTTGACAGCAACTAAAACCTGTTTTTGAACAGAAATAAAGACCAAGACATACTTTAAACATTGCGCATGCAACAAAATAATGTTATCTCCCACCATTTTCTCAGCTTGCGTGTTCATGTCCCTCAACTTCTCAATGCATTCCTTCTTGACCAGTAAAATCTTTGATAACCTTGTCTAAAAAAATTTCAAAAATCCCAAGTCAATATATTATCATGACCACAACTTTTACTTCATAATAAAAATAATTATCATCCCCAATTTTATTATCGACAACAAATACTTTGCAGTCACAAGCAATTATTTAATGATGATATCCTTACCACAAGGATGAGGAATCTAATTGGAAAACCACCAAGTGTGCCACCTTAAAAAGAAAATACCAAAAAATTTTACTTCTGTCATAATTTTAATTCAGTTGAAAAACATACTTTAAAAAAACAATTTAAAGTAAATCTCTCTCCTTCTCCAGGTGCATGGTCAGTTTTATTACCTTGTCCTTGCTGGGAGATTGCATCTTGAAGGCGCAACCTTCAACAATAACAAAATAATAAAAAATGTTGGTACATTTTGTCAAACTTAAACGTATTATAGCTTTTTCTTCTTTTTTTTATTGCACACTGAAACATTTGCATGTACCTTCCAGGTGAAGCCCCTATGAGAGGATCATGAACCTGTGAATAGAAACACAGAGGGTATAATGGTTATTAAAACATCCAAATGGTGAATCATTCAAATAATACCTTGACTGTACCTTCTATCTTTGTCTCTATTTCAACAAAATTACCAACTGGCACATAAAATTGTTATTATTATTCATTATTATTATTATTATTATTATTATTATTATTATTATTATTGTCGTTGTTGTTGCTGTTGCTCTTGTTCTCGTTCTCATTCTCATTCTCGTTATGGTTATTGTTATCGTTATTATTACTATTATTATTAGTATTATTATTCATATGAAATGTCTTTTACCATATTTGGACTGTTGACATCACCAGTGGCGGGAAGCAGCCTACATGTACAAACAAGGCGTGAAGAAAACTGTCAATAAGAATGGCTATGATACTGATGTTGGAAAGAATGGCAAATGATCGAAATCACATACAACTAACATGCGTGTGTACACACCACAGTACCTTGGTGGAGTGTAAGAAGCAGAGAATGCTGCCGTTCTTGGTCTTTCCTTTTGAAGGAATGATGATATTGGCATTGTGTCATGTGGCTCTTCACTCTGAAATCATCCAAAAACAATAATCATTTTATTTTATTTATTTATTTTTTTATTTATTTATCTATAACCTTTATAATATATCACGACAAGAAATGGCAGTTTTTACTAACAGTCAAAACTGTTTATCATGTTAAGTGCTCAGGACTCCAGACCATGTGGTAATTGATTAATCAATTATAGTTACTTTGATTTAAATAGTTTTTTTTCAAATTTTCATTTCAAATTTCCATTATTCAAATGAGGAATTTGAAATTCATGTGCAACTTGATCAAAAACTTGTTAATTTTGTTAACTGGATTTAAAAAGTGTTTGGCTTCACATGAAACATACATATGAATCTGTATGAAGAATCATAAAGCGATTTTAAAATTTGAAATCTCTCTTTAGTGACCAGGACAATAAAAAAACACTGGACAGATCTACATGCTTTCATGATACATCAATTTGCAACACAGATTCTTGAAAAAATGTATCTCAATTCAACTTACATCATGTGCACAGCTGTAATTAATTTAATGTTATACAGAGTGAATACAAACACTGTCAAGACTTGACTTACAAGAACTTCAATATCAGGAACTGAATGAGTTCCAAGACCTGAAGTAGAATATAACAAACATCATTAGTATAATTCAAATTATCAATTGACACTGTTCTAAATATGCCAGCAATTACATCACAAAACTCTAGGAAAAATACCGCATTTTTTTCTTTGATTAAACCTTTGTCATAAAAAATTATACCATAAAATATAGTAAATTTAATCAGATTAAGTTTAACAGAGTTAAGGAGTCCTCTTGCAAGCCAAAAGGGTTATTTACTTAGGATGATCTTGTTGCATGTCATCAAACCAGTCTTGCTCCAGTGTAGCTGGTTTCATCACTTTTCTGACACTTGTTACTTGTTTTGTTCTACTGTAAGCAGCACTTGACTTTGCTACTCTGTTTTATTTGTAGTATTATTTACAAACAGTCACAAAGAAAGAGAAATGTATTGCCACAAACCACTTAACGGCTGACTAGAAACAAACCTGGACGGTCAAACGTGACTCTATAAGAGTAATTGACAGTATCAACAGCATCTATCTGACCAGTGAAAAGGCCATCCTGAGGCTCACGTAGACGAGCTAAAGGGAAGCAGAAAAGAGTGAAAATAAGAGACAAATAAAATTAAAGCTGTCAGTAGTAAGTGAAGTTAAGAGCAACTTCTACTCAAGATAAACTGCATACCTGTGACTTTTGTTCCTATGACTAGAGGTAATGGAACCTCATCAGGCAAATCCTTAAATCTGCTTAGTTCAGTTACCTGTTATGATGAAAAAAGGAACCGTCGCTATGTAAATTATTGAAGTACATGTATAAACACTGTACAATGTTCATTGCTGCTACAATGTCAACACCTGAATGATATCATCATACACATATATGAATCATCCTAGTTTTTGTGCTGCAGCTTGTACTTTTGTAAAGGTCAAAAATATAATTCTCAGGTTATACTAATTTAATATAACTTGATTTGAGCAACTAAACCACCCCCTTGAAACCAATCACCATACAATATAATTTCCTCTTGCTTTTTCCAAGCAAAGAATGTGATGAATGAAGCCAAACCCTTCCTAGTGCCATTAATAATCACTTTTCCATGCTTACTTTCTCTTGACATCTTTCAACAGGTCTCAATACAACAAAATGCAATCTGAAAGTAATTTTGTCCCACTGTAGGCACCAATGACAAACACTTACCTTTCGTTGTTGAAGCATCCTTATTTTTCGTCTCTTCTCTTCTAGAGCTTGCCGCTCTTCCAAGAAAAAGGCTGGAGAACATCTAAATTAACCAAACAAAAAAATTAGCTACTCATCAAAGTGTGACTTTTCACTAACATCAATAATACAGACCATAAAGTGATAACACAGCATTTACAGTGTGTCACCAATGGTCATTATTTTGTTTATTAAATCCCTACTGATGAAACTTTTCACAAATATTCACAGATCACCTTTAGTGCAATATTAGTCAACAGGCGCTCAGAAAAGCTACAAAATTTAATGTCATTAGCCAGGTTAAAAGGAATTCCAGCCATACTAACCTTCTTGGTTTTCCCATAAGTCTCCTAACTTCTCTCCATTCAACTCGGCGCAATTTGCGAGTCTAAAACCAAGAAATTGACTTTATCAGTAGTTAATACATAGACTGAAGTAGCTTTATGTCCACTATTAGCTGCTTCGAAAAAGCACATGTATCATCTCTGAGCGGTTTCTACAAAACTGAAACTGATGAGTTACAACCATCTAACCTTTCTCCCCTCATGTTCAGAACATCATATTTAAATGCTTTTTACAATCTCATGACATAAATAAAACATTATCAGCCTGTTTTATCACACCATAAATTTATGTCATGACTACATATATTTTAATAAAAGCATCTTAGTTATGCTTCATCGTGTAACGTCAAAGACAAACCTTTAAGTTTGGAAATGACTCCTTTAGGCAAACATGAAAGTCATTATCACCTTCAAATAAGACTCTGAAATAAGAGGAAAAAATGGGTTACTAAACTAAGACAAAATCTTTCTAAATCAATGGTCGGTTCTTGGAAGAAATTTAATTTGAGAAGAAAGAAACAAGTTAAGAAGCAAATAATTATTTGAAGAGTTAGGGTTCTGTCAACAGTACATGTACCTTGGTCCACTGCAAGTTACATCATTTTATCAATCTCAAATTACAAATACATGTAGAAAGCGCTCAAGAGCAGGCATAACTGTATATCATTGGTAACCGTAAGGGTTTTGAGGGTAAAGTCTCAGATATTTCTCAGCTTTTATGAGCCACTGCATTTTAGTACAGAACCGTATATTAACAAGGCTTATATTTTACTTTGCATTGCAGCACTGGGACACTCATACTAGGTGTTCAGTATCAGTTGCCAATAACAGTCCTACCTGTCTAAGCTGGAGTAGAACCATTCAAAATAACACCATCTTGCTGCTTTAGGCAACTTAAGAAGATTCTGCAGCTTGGCAAATGATGCCTAACAAGACAAAATTTCATAACACACAATTGCATTTTGTATTACAACGTGACTGAGCGAGTCATCTACATGTACATGTAGTCATTACACATAACTTTAAACTACATCACATGGTTGTGTACCTTAGCAAGCCTCTTGTCTGTACTTCCATTCCCAGTTAACTGAACACCAAGACAAAAGAACAATCAATAACTGAAATCATTCATAGTTTTATCAGCTAAAAATACTTTGATTAGAACAAATTTCTCACGATGTAATTAAGGCTATGATATGTTAAAAACAAATAGCATTAAGACCCAAATGGCATGTCCCAGGGCTCAGAAAAGTGCCATCCGGTCATCCAGGACAAGCAGATTCTCCTTCTGGGCAAGTTTATTTCAACTTTTCTCTCCTAGTTGCCCAATGGGCAAGGGCACGAGTCGTCTGCCAACTAAGTCATTAAAAGAGCAAACAAAGTTTGTATAGGACAAGAAAAATTCAAGGGCTACTTGTCCCAAGGGCAAGCTGGAATTCAAGTTTTTTTCAAACCCTGATGTTCATGTGTAAACTCTAGAAAACTAAACAAATAATAATGAATATCATACATTTGTTCCTCTTCATATTGATTAAAATGTATCATTAACATACCACAGATGCTGCTTTTGCCATCCTTCTAGAAAAGAAAAATCATACTGAGACCTAAGCTTAATATTATTTTGAAGGCCTTATCCACACTACGCTGGAGAAATTTGAAAACAAAGCTTATTTCTACATTTAGGCCTACAATTCACAGTCACAAAAATGGAGCTTTTCAAAATGCTCCAGACCAGAGGAATTTGAAAACATCCCAGAGATTGTTGCTTTACGAAATTCCTTAGGTGTAGAATGGAAAGAAAACATTTGATGCATTTTCAAAGTGAAACCTATGTTTTCGAATTTCTGCGGCATAGCGTGGACAGGGCCTTAAGCTGTAGTTACTGTTGATTGAAGCAATTATATCTCTTATTCTAGAATATAAATCAAGATTAACAATGCATAGCTCAGTTATTCAGCAAGACAAGAAAGATTAATTAATTAATTTATGCACATTATACTGAAAAAAAAAAAGGGAGCTAAACAAACCTTGTTCGGGGGGAAGAAAGCAAATATTCCTTAAACGGAAAGAAACAGACAAAGTTAGGCCCATCAGAAATGAAAAACCCTTAACCAAGAACTGTAGAGGTTTGGCCACAAAATGTAAAAAATTTATCCCCACTTGTAGCAACCCTGACCACTGTCCAGAAAAGGTTGTTGAGCGATTGAAAAACTTGAGCTATTATCTCACAGTATATACAGCTAAAGGCATGCATCTTTCGCTACCACAAACTTTCAGATGAATGCAAAACTAATAGTAATTCATCATAATTGTCGAAAGCTTACTTCCTTATTCCTCAGTATTGCTGCTGGTGTGTATGTATTTATTGTTGTATCAAATGCTTTTGGTTTAAAATTTTATTATTAAATTTTACTTTCCTTTGTTTGACNTCGCCGTCGTGCGTACGTGCCCACGAGCAATACCGCTAGCCATGATAAGCATGAGAAAATCAACTCATTGGTTTCCTTTTCGTTCCTATATGAGTATGGGGCTCCGCTTGGCGGCCCTTCGGGCCGCCGGAGCTCCACTAATAATTTTTGTAACAAACAACACGAGTAAATACCCCCTCATCTGTGCCTCTCTCTTGGTCGACATCTTCCGTGCTATCATCAGTCTGTCGAGTCCTTTTCTTAGATCGTGGCTATAAAGGAGAAATGTAAACATCTTGGACTGGTTGTTTGAAGGGCCAATAATGTTTTCCATCAGACAAGTCATTATAGAGTGGATAGGATATTCCTATTCAAAGCCATGAAAACAACTGGTCCTGTACTTTACAAATTTACCCAATGCATAACTTATTTTCCATCTCCTGCCCAAGATTTGACTCTAATAATTTTCTACACTGCATCAAGGAGGCTTATAGTATTGGGTAGGATTGTTCAAAGCATGGTATTTATAAGCAGACTTTTAGCCAGGATTTGAAAAGTGGGTGCCCAAAATATTAGGTCTGCTCAAATAAACAAATATTTTACAAAATTTTCTATAAAAAGTGGGTGTCCACACTGGACACTCATCTGGCTAAAAGCCTGATTATAAGCTAATCTGGAGATGCATGTACATGTGTACTTCTTTATTTTATATACGTACTGGTGTAGTGCGCTTCACTGGTGAACTAAACTGAGACTGTGATCCAATACCTGCACAAAAACACGCAGCTGTGATCAGTTTACAATAACTCCAGAAATTCTTATGCACTCATTGACTAATTTTCATTGTCAATAAGCAGACAGACCCATCAAATTATAATTTATGCAATGCAATACACTTTTTATCATCTTAATTCGGAAAACCTAATTTGCATTCATATGCGATTTACAAAACTAGTTTTGTAAATCGCATATGAAACTAGTTTTGTAAGTCGCATATGTAGATTAGTGTGTCAAAAGTGAATGCAAATTAGGTTTTTCCGAATTAAGATGATGTTTAGTAAAACTTTCTTGGCTTCGACAAGCAGAATTTCTCAGAGATGCACTTTTTGTTACTGTAAAAAACAACTTGACACCAGTTTTTCATGCGTCTAGTCCTGTTATTGACCATGGCTATCGCCTCATGGATCCACAGTTACTTTGACAATAATGGATCAATAACAGGACAGATGCATGAAAAACTGATGTCAATTTATTAACTACACTTTTCTATATTGTAATAATTTCTAGCAGATAAGTTGCAAGAAGGAGGCACTAGATCATGTCAAGAGAAAAGACAGGATACAAAACCAAATTCTCCCAAGGACATTATAGCGCAGAGGGTTGGGAGAATTTGATGTTGATCTTGTGATCAAAAGGATTAATTAATTATCCATTGTAAAATAGTTTCATACTCCTAAATGGTTTCCACTGTAGGCATTTAAACTTTGTTAGTAGTCTCTAGTTCAAAATACAAATTCTCATAAACACATGTCACACATTTTTGCTATAACAGTACAGAGAATTTAGTTGTGTACAAAGACAGAACCAGAAAACCACTACTTCTTTACTCTTCTTGTTATAACCTGCCCTGCTTACATAATATGTTTACAAATATTTTTCAAACAGAGTGACAACCATTACACATGTATACCAACATGTAAAACTTTGAAATTAAGTTTTAGGAATAATTTGTTAGAATTTGGCAATTTTACCTCGTAAGCTCACCAACGCTTCTGCAGAGGTTTCTAAAAATCAAAATAATACATGACTTATTAACAATTAAGCTCACATGTCTCACATTCGATTCAGAGCGTGAAGCAAAGCATCAATACAAATTTATGTACAGTCAAAGGTCAACAATAAAATAAAACGACAGAAAAAAAAACAGCAATTAACCAAGGTTGCCATATACTTAGACTCTAGAAACAAAGATCGATAAATCTGTAGGTTAACTTATGTGTCATCTAATGAGCACACTTGTAACCTCAATTTGGGTCTCACCATGTACCCCAAAGTCAAGTTTTCTTAAAAATTACAAATTTATGCATTCAAAAGGTTTTAAAACAACAGTTGGAAGTTTGTGTGACTCTGCTTTAGTTTCCGTTCATAATTTACACTTAAACAATTCTTCAAATGTGCAAACTCCTTCCAGAACATTTTAGAATTCACCTTCAAATCTGCCGAGCTTCTTCGGCCGGCTACAAAACTAATCTCACTTATATGTCAAGAATTACATATGTATAAGAAACATTCCGAGATACTTGAGGCAAAAATGTGTTAATAAAATAATTATTTCAAGCTGGATTTACTAATGAAATGGAAAACGACGTGATAAACACAAATTTAAAGTGTTTGATTACTTTACCTTCTTCCGCCATATTGTTTTCTGGGGGCGACGCGCTCTTTTTTCAAAGAACTCTGCCGCTCAGCATTCTGGGTAAATTTAATGTCATTCATTTTTTTTTTTTTTTTTTT